ATGGAGGTGTTTCTCATTTTGAAGCTTAGGTCTAATGTACTTGAGGTATCAGAATTTTTGAGTATCATGTTCCCTTTCTTCACTCCACAATTCACTGTTTGTCTAATTTTGATCAGCTAATACCTGCCTTATAAATCTTTTTTTCCCTATGGTTCTTTGCTTTATCTGTGCATTATAACAATTGATACCATTTAGAGCTAACAAAGGAGGTCTCCAGAGTAGAGTGCTAATGCTTATGCTGTTCAAGAATATTCTCACCCAGGTGAACTGAAGCAGCAGTAGTAGCTGTGTGGGTTTTTTCCAGTTATACACCTTGAAAATTTTCCTTAAATTATTATTGAAGGGGAAGGAATTCCCAAATTTTTCCTCAAAAGGGTACTGTTGTTTCACTGTCTGCAGGAATTGTGGGGAAAAAGTTGCTTCAAGTGTGAAAGAAAACAGATAGATTGGTAGCACTAGAGAGTTTACTACTGTGGATGAGGCTCCCCCCATCTAGAATTTACTGCATAATTTTTTGAAAAATACTTATAAAGGTTTTTGTGGGTTTTGTATTTGGCTGCATATATTTGAAAAAATGTGCTGTAGGTTCCAGTATGTTAATTTTGGGGTGGAGGGAATAAACCGTCTTGTTATGCTTAATAGATTCTTGTTTTCCACAGTCACCTTAACTTCTCTACACTTGTGTTCTTCTGGTCGAACTAACAGCTTTACAGATACACATGCTTCTTGTTCAGGACTGGAGGAAAATAAAGTGAATTGAAAACAATGTTTGCTGTATTATTGCTACCAATACACGCGTGTCATTGCTCTGTTTTGTTTGTGGGGGAACAGTTTTAGTTAAGCTGACCTTCACATTCCTTTGAAAGAAAAGCATGTTAATAAGCAGCTTACAAAGAAATCTGTATTATTGTAATGTCAGTAAATGATAGGAGAAAAATCCATGAGGTGTGTATGAGAATTTTTGCTCACTCTGGAGTTTAGTATGCATGCCAAACTACATGTTATCCTCTTTGTGTCCTTAATAACTGTAGATTTCTTTCTAGTGCAGTATCCTGAAGGTGGGACTGAAGAAAAATTAAATCTGTTTCAATAGAATTTAGCAATTGTGGTTCAAATTACTATAAAGCTTAGGGTAAAAGTTGAAGGAAGATGGTGAGTTAACTTTGAGGATGCTTGGTGAGAAGCTTCCCAAGCGTAAGTGAGAGCACAGGCATGTTGTCAGAAACATATTAAATGTCATGTCAATTAGGCAGAGAAGGAACTCATTTGTCCTAATAATATATGAGTAGATGTGGTAGCTGGTAAAGATTTTTTTAATGTTGTCTGAATGGAGATTTATTTTTAAATCATTTTTTATGCTTTCAAAATTCATTAGTTTTATATTAAGTGAGATGACTTGGAGCTAACACATCTGCTCCTGACTTCTCGTAAAAGAGGAAAGGGATTGACAAACTGTATAGGCTTCATAAAAACATCAAAAAAGAAGGAACAAGGAGTAAAATGTCAGCTCCTTCAAATTGCAATGATGAATTACTGTAAGGCTTAGAGTATAGGAACTGTTAAAGCAAAAATCCATCTGATCTGGTATCTTCCAGCTGTAGGGTATTTAGCCAAAGAGCATAACAAAACAAGCATAAGATGGTTCCTCCTGGTTTCTAGCTTTCTGTAATTTCAGAATTTCTTTCAGAGTGCATTGTATCTGTATCTTCTGTATCAGAAGAAGAAGAAATTCTTCTGAAAGCCCTTCAAAGTCTGTACCATGAATCTCTGATCTTTTTTGTGCATGTTTATACACTTTTGCATCTAGAGCAGTCTTGTTCCTGGCAGTTTCCCAATTTAATTATGAAAACCTATGGAAAATGTTTTGGGGTTGTTTGGTTGGGGTTTGTTGTGTTTTGTGTTGTTTTTTCCTTGGGTTTTGCTTGGTTATTTTGTTTTTACTTTTTAAAATATTCTAGCTGTGGTAGCATGAGTAAGAAAGCATTCTCTGATGGCTATCAGAGACATGATAAATAATCCAGTCTGTGCCACTCATAATCCTGTAGACCTTCACCTCCTTGATTGCTGCTACACTGAGGAGTCCGTGTTTATTTAGTTGGTTCTCTCGAGAAAGCTATTCCATGTTTCTGATCATCCTTGTTATCCTCTGAGCCTCATGGTTCTGATGGTGTCATTTTGTAAGGGAGTAATCAGAATTATAAAGTTTTCTTAATGTGAACCTTTAGATTTTTAGTGACTGTGCTGGTTTCTGATTTGTTTGTTCTTTTCTATTAGTTCTGTTGGCTTCCAGGTATTTGAGCTGATTATGTGAAGATGTCTCTGAAAACAGTGACTAAAAAGGTCTTTCTCGAGGTGTTAAAGCCAGTTTAGGAACTGTTATATGGATAGTTGTGCAGTTGCAGATGTTTATCTCATCACTGTCTGGAAACCAGTGCACATAACATGGGCTTAAACAGAACATTTCAACTTCATTTAATGTGCACTAACAAACATAATCAAGCATAACAAAGGTGGTATGTATGGATGTAGTGTCTAATGCAATTAATGAGTACCAAAGTCACAATCCCAAAATTGCTTGATTAATACGTGCACTGTTTTAAGGGACAATGCTCTTCCAGAGTCTTGCTCTTTTTTTTTTTTTTACCTAATCTTTGACTATTAGGCACATCTTTGTCTGAATTCCTTGACCCAAGGGGATGAGATTCTTGTCAGCATCCTTTGAAATTAGGCTGAATAAAAGCAGTATCAAGCCTAGGTGGCTTCAGAGGCTTCTGGTTAGTCTTGGCCAGTCTGGCCTCCAAGAAAAGCTGCTGTTTGGTCCCTGCAATTATGTGTAACTACATGGTGCATGAGGTAGTAACTACAAGGATGGATGAGTGAGTTGCTGTTGACTCTTGTCCTTTGGAAATAAAGGAGCTTGCCCTCTAGGTGTATTTAGTGGTTGGAGGCAGAGGAAGGAGCACATGAACAAAATCATCTTAATTTTCAGTTCCCAACAAGGGGAGGTGGTAACTGGTTCTGCTGACAGTGCCCTGATGGGGACCAGTTCCTTACAAGGTTGGAGCATTACTTCTATTTGCCCCAGTGAAATACACTTTCCCCCCATTATTGCTCCAGTGTTCAGCATCATGTGATCTTTCTCTAACTTTTGGGTTTGACTTACCCAATATATTTTCTATACAATAAATTTAGTTACATTATTGTTTGCCCTTTTTCTGGAACACTTGGAGCATGGTGAACAGCACATTGATTTAGAGAGTCTGAAAACTTCCTTTCCTTGTGAAAACTAACAACTTCCTATCCGTTGTTGAACCAGTTATTACTATGAAGGACAAGTTCCTTCTTAGCCCATATCACCTTAAATTCTTGAAGAACTCCTGGTAAGAGATCTTGGAAGTCTAGGTGTTCTGTCAACCAGATCATCCTTCCCCGTGTGCTTCTTGGTTTTTTGCAGAGAAAAAGAGATTTGTGAAGCATGATTTCATTTTTCATTATATTTATCTAGCTGTCTTCCGACTTGTTTTTCTCATAACTCTAACTGATTTTTCTGGTATGAAGTTAAAAATATTCTGCAGTTACCTCGATGTTTCTTTAGAGCCCTTTGGAAAACCAAACAAAAAGTAACTGAATTTTTTTTATTTGCCTTTATATTTCTTCCAGACAGAGTGGTTAGTTCATTTATTTATTGTATATTTTTTCTTTTTTTTTTTTCCTGCAAGTACAGCTTAAGCAATTGTTATGAAAAATTTGGACATGTAGAATGTTAATCTGGAATCATGGGACTCGAAGGAATTCCTTTTCTGTGGCTTTTGGGATTACCTCAAGATTTAATGAATAAAACTAAGTCATTCACTTGCTTAGAAAACGGCGTAACACTAGCTTTTGAATAATCTTCACCTTGATTTTTATTTTACATTATTCTGACAGTGGGAGCAATGGATGCTTTTGCTACCAAAAGAAAAGAGTTGGAAAAGCTGGGGAGAAAAAAGGAAGAGGAAGTTGCATATTCAATATCAAAGCAACTTTGGGGTTATTTTAGAAAATGACATTACATTAAAAACTCTGCTCTGTTGAAAGCTCACTTAGCACTTTGCTTCCAAGTGCCTTGCAGAGTAAAATGGCACTGTTTGCTATAGTAGGTAATGAAATCACAAGTGATGGTCTTACAATATAAGTGACAATTTGAAGGTTTGTGATACTAACATTGAGACTGATCTGTGTGGTGTCTTGTAAATTGGAGCATGTGGATGATGCAACAGCATGTCTTGAGTAGATGCTTCTGTTCTCTTGAATCTGTTGGTTGTCTCGCAATAAGTTCACTGTTAACAGTCCTTTGAAAATTTAGCAGAATACTTTGAGGCAAATGTTTTATGGACAAAATTGCATGGTTTTGCAGTAGACTTACATATTGGCTCTGGCAGCTCTAAAAGACTTATTAATTATAATGCCTGCTTTACTTGTTTATTGTAAAGCTAAAGGCACTGTGTGTTTCTTTAAACTAGCTCCTTTACAGTCCTAACGAGTGTGAAAAGCATTTCTATTCCTTTTTCTTGTAATCTGCCATTTACATTGTTTCATTTGAGTATTAGCAAGGGAAACAGTGCAGTCTTATGAAACATAATACATAGAGGTATAAAAAATAATAGCATGCATGTGAAAGTGCAAATAAGTATTTCTTATTAGGATGGGACTAGAACACACTTCTAAAGTATAAGTTTTAGTTAATGTATTTTCTTTCTTATTCAAGCTTGCATTAAGACCAAATATTCTTTACTTCTAACAATGCTCACAGGTTCAATAGACCTAATATTAAAATTTTCTTTTGCCTTTAAATTAATGTAACTTTTTTCTATGTAATTGGGTTTTTTTCCAGTTTGTGGGTATATAAAAGCAATGAGAACTTAGAGGCTTACCTAGCCATGTAAAATTCAGATTAACACTTGTGGAATGCTTAAGAGATCAAATATAAATGTAATAAATTAATGCCTCTTTCTCTGTAGGGTGCTGGTCAAGACAAACTTGGAATATACGTCAAGTCTGTTGTGAAAGGAGGTGCTGCAGATGTGGTTAGTAATATTCTTAAGTATCAGAAGTTCAAAGGTAGAAAGATCCTTTGAAAATGCTTTTAAATCCATCATTTACTAGTATGTGTGAATAATTATTTTAATTTAGACCATGTTAGCATTGGTGTATGAATCTTCTTCTCTCTTGAATACCTATTTAGGATGGTCGCCTCGCTGCAGGGGATCAGTTGCTTAGTGTGGATGGTCGAAGTTTGGTGGGCCTGTCCCAGGAAAGGTATGGAATGCTTTCCTTGACTGGCTTTACATGAAGAAAATGCTAGAGTAATAGTTTACTGAAAAGGGCTGAAGCTGTTTTTTTTTACGTGATAGGCTTTGTCTTGGCTTTTTATAACTGCCTATGAGTAACTTTAGTAGCAAGTTCAACTGTTTGTGTAGTATTTGCTGTATATGATACAGGATATCTATATAGAAGAGATTGTATTACACGTTTGGACTTCAGTATTGAGCAAACCTTACTTAGCTCTTAATTTTCGATATTTGGCTTCTGATCTTTAACTGCAGAAATCTGAAAGAGTACTTGCCTGTAGGTTTTGTCTGTGTAATAAGTGTTTTAAGTATTAATCAGAAAAAGAGTGGTTTGTCAAACAAAAGATTATTAGAATAAAGGTGAGGAAATCATGGCATAAAAACTGGTAATGAGGAGATTTAAGTAATACGGAGCCTAACTTTATTTCGTTTTATTTGCTTTGGCTTTTTATTGCAGGGCAGCAGAACTTATGACTAGGACAGGTTCTGTAGTAACACTAGAAGTAGCAAAACAAGGAGCAATTTACCATGGTCTGGCAACCCTGCTTAATCAGCCATCCCCAATGATGCAAAGAGGTAAAAATGCTAATATTATTTATGTTGATAACAGCTTTATAAGTCCTAGAATGTAGAAAATATATAATTCACAGTAGCTTGCCAAATACTACAAAAATAATAAATCAGAAAAGAAATGTAGTTGCACAGGAAAGAAGCTTTTCCTTTCTTATCAAAATTTATCTGGTTTTGAATATTGTTTGAAATTATGCTAGTCTAATCATTAGTAAATGCTTTGCATATGTACCTTTTAAAAAAGTACATGATGCATTTAAACACAATTTGGGTTTGCAGTAATTTTTGTTTAACAAAAGGAATATAATGAATACAAAGGGCATTAAACTTCAATGGCTTTTTTTATCCCTTTTTCATAAAAGCTTCTCTCTGGTTATAATGAAGTCATATTCTGAGAACAGGAGAGTACAATGTAATTACTAAGAGAGAAATAAATAGAAACAGAAGCCCCTGGAACATGTTTTGCTATTGAATTTTTTTATTATTATTATTTTTAAACTAGAAATATTTAAATGTATGTTTCTAAGTTTCTGTCTGATCGTAAGAAGTTCTTGGATGTTTCTCCGATGTTAACATTTTATCATCCTACTTCAGTGAACTAACAAAAGACATATTTAAGTCTTACATAAAATAATGTTGTAAAGGAAATAATTTTGTAAAGGAAGACCTTTTCTACATAGAAGGTAGTACTGCAGTATAGAAAAGAATGGGTTAAAAGAATAAATCCTTATTGTCACAGTTTACAACACCATCCCAGATGCCATATGCCTCTCAGAGTCAGCAAGAGGCTTTTCAGTAAAGCACAATTGGCTTTTCCAAATATTATGGTACCTTTTCAAAAGCTCTTTTGAAGCATACAAATCAAAGGAATCCTATGTAGTTGATACAAGAGTTGGGATTGTGTGTCTGAAGAAGTAAAGATTTTAAAATCTAGCATTTGCTTTACTGGGAACTCATTTTTTAATCGTAAATGCAAGGTAGCTGGGGTTTGAAAAAGAATATACTAGACAGTAATTAATATAAGTGAAAGGGGGAAGATACATATCCAACTGTTACAGTTTCTGACCGCCGTGGCTCAGGTAAACCCCGACCAAAGAGTGAAGGTTTTGAGCTGTATAACAACTCCACTCAAAATGGATCACCTGAGAGCCCTCAGCTGCCGTGGACGGAGTACAGTGAACCAAAGAAGCTGCCAGGGGATGATAGATTAATGAAGAACAGAGCAGATCATCGCTCCAGCCCCAATGTAGCAAGTAAGTAAGATCATCCTTCTTTTAAGGGTAGATGCCTCCTCCACTAGTTTTAGAGGATGTTGAATTCAAAAAGGGGATGATTGTGTTTAAAAACAGCTTAAGTTTAAAATGCCAACAGAGTAGTAACATTTGAAGTAAGCCTCTTGTTAGAACTATTCAAAGGAAAAATCGTAGTTATTTTGTGAATACTATTATTTTATTAAGTTATGTAAATTATTATTAACAGTCATGTAAATGCTTCCTTTAACTTTCCAACAGATCAGCCTCCAAGCCCTGGGGGAAAGAACGCTTACGCATCTGGAACTACCACCAAAATAACCTCAGTCTCTACTGGAAATCTTTGTACAGAGGTCAGAAGTGGCAAGCAAAATGCTAGCTATTAAACTTTCTTTAGCGATCAATAGCGTCAGTGTGCTTGAGTCAAACCAGCCTTCGTTAACTATTTGAACATAATGCTAGTGCTAGTAACTGGGTGGCAGTTTTGCTTATTACAGTTAATGAATGGTTGAGAAGGCTTCGAGTGATTTTTATTAAATTTTGTTCATGAAGTTGTCCTTGTGATTTCTTAGGTTTGTACAGTATTGCGTACTGGTTTTCAGACTATAAAAACATGAGTCATAGCCACAATTATATTTGGTACTGGACAACCTCTTTATCTCCTGTTCCAGACAAATAATGCTGTTGTGAGCCAAAAGGAAACATTTGGAAAATGCATTTTTAGAATAATATTCCGTACAGATCTGTGTGATTAGAAAATTCTACCTTATGTTCTTTCTACCGTTTTTCAGGAACAGACTCTGCCCCCACGACCTGAAGCTTATCCCATCCCAACACAGACTTATACTAGAGAATATTTCACATTCCCAGCTTCAAAGTCCCAGGATCGAATGGGTCCAGCTCAGAGTCAGTGGCCAAATTATGAAGAAAAACCACAGGTCCAGGCAGAAAGTAATCATTCAATCAATGCTACGATGCAGGTGAGAAGTAATTTCTTTCAATATAAGAAAAAAAAAACAGAAAGAAACTGCTCAATTTCCACAGCCAGGCTGCTAGAGACGTTTTTGCAGAACAGTCAACTCTCTATAATCTCTGAGCTGTTGAGGACAAACTATACCACAGGGCGGGGAACAACTGTACTTTTGCCAAGATTGGTTTGGGTTCAGAAACCCGACTCTTAC